AACTTTACGCTGCAGCACAGAAGAGAATTGGCGGTCATGATCTTACTCGGCGCATCATTGTGTCCCCTGGGTCTGGATTCTGGAGTCGCATTGCTCGCCAGCGTTTGCTCTGGAGGCGGTCTGCGCTCCGCCACATCGATCATGCCGAACTGCCGATGGGTGCACAAAAGGTAGGCAGCCATGATTCATCTCCCCGCAGGCTTCACTCCAGCAAACCGGCTCTCCGATCCGACCCCATCGGTGAAGATCCAATGGCGAAAAGGATGGTGCCTGAACGATCGCTAACAGTAACACACGTGTTAACCTGCATTTGCCTGCTAACTGTCGTCTCGTTCGAGAACAAGACGTTGCTGGCGGCAAGCGGCTTCTGTCGTTTTGATAGGCTCATTGCCAACCAAGCTAGCACAGAGAGTGCTCCTACTTTTTTCTGTGTGAGTTGATAATGCTTGCAAACTCTTATATAACAGTAATGTTCCCAACAATTCAAAGATAGGATCAAAGGAAAGGATCCGAAATACTAGCATATCAGTATGAGTTGGTTGTTCTGCTTCATTCCCATTAACTTCCCGGCCGTGCTTCCAAAGAGGAGCAGCTAGCTAGCAGTTAGCATCGAGCAGCCTATTCGGTTGGCTGGTTCGTGAAGAAGTACTGCTGGCTGGTTTGTATGAGAGAAAAATATTGTTTCAACTGAAAATTTATGATCATTTACGACAAGCCACAGCCAAACGATGCATGCCGGGGGGGGGACACGTTTGCTCCATGATGACACGAAGCTAGTGAGCACAAGTACACGCCAAACTTGGTACTAGGAAGGACCATAATTGAGGCTCAACCGCCGAAATGCAACGTCAACTACTACCACAGATCCAGATATCCTAATCACAAACAAAGCGCACAGTATCTATCTCTCATGGTTGTGTTGTCTCCGTGGGGTCAATGGATGGACGTTTGGGCCCACCAGCCATTGACCCACCACCCTATGGAGTGACTGAGGCTGGAGCTTGCTTGTAGAGGACACTCCTATCCTTATCCTAGTAGACTACTAGACAAGAAAGATACCTGGATGGAAGGTGTATGACTTTTGTTAAACCAAAGCAACACACATGGTATGACCGAGATTTAGCCCCATTCGTTTGGGCTGGTTTTGGTTTGCTTTATAAAATATATTTATTGAAAATCTTATTCATTTGATTTGGTGTGAGAAAAAAATATTTCGTTGGTTTGACCGATAAGTTCAGCCTTACCTCATGGAGATACGAAGCAATGAACAGACTGAGGTGTTAACCTCCTCCCACTCTGGCATTAACAAAGGATCAGCACATACTGTACTGCCCTGATTGCATCAACCACTCCCAACTTGCCTTTAAACAACTGCTTAAACCCATCCTTTTATGATCCAGCTACTTTTGGAGGCTTCAGAGGCACTCTTCTTTACATCTTCAGTCAGGGTTAGCGAACTGGATATGCAAGTAGTAATCAATCTGGAGACGGTTTTGGTTTCAAAGACTATGTATGATACGGTGAAACTAAATATGGGTGGCGATTGTTTTTTGGTTTGGTCGCCATACCCGTTCCAAGTCACAAAAGTTACTCTAATAATGTAGTGCAGCACTGCAACAGTACGGCGGCCATAGTAAGGATTGATGTACGACTGTGGTTATCCATATAGCAGGCACCAGGCAGCCAGATGGATCGTCCCAGAACTGAAAAGAAGCACAGGTGACGCGGTTCGTAAATATGGTACGGTGCCAGGGCGACATAATAGAGATCAACAGGCAACAGCTCGTAGAATCTGAGATCTGACAATGTATTACTCATGGCCGTGCGATCTGCACCGTCAGATCTCGGGCCACGACAGGCTCGGATAAAAACCTCTGCATCTCCATAAATGTCAACTTCAACGACTACTACGTCACTGATGGTGGTGGTCGTACTTGCAACTATTTAGTGGTTGCAATATTGCTGCTCGTTACTCTTCCTCCGTACGTTTAGAAATTAGACTAGTGCTATTGCGATAAGTCAAACGATTTGATATATGACTAAATCTATATCTGTATAACATTTAGAATGGTAAACTTCTTTTATCGTCCTTCACTCTCTTTTTGTGTGTTTATCATTTCTTTTCCACCTTTCGTCTCTTATTCTAACACTTCTCGCTTTATAAATGCAAACATAGATTCATTGTCGGAGTTTAGAGTATGTAAACCATGGCAAACATAGACTCATGTTGTGGTATGACCACGACTCGTGTTTGCGTGCAGTTCGCCTTCCACATTTTCTTGAACTAACAACAGGTACATATAATAGTCACATATTTAAGATGAATCAATCTCCTGTCATTTTTCATACTGAATTAATCTTTTATTGCACTAGTTTTTATTATGTGCCTTGCAATTTATTTGATTTATTCAAGGTTAGGTCAAGCTCAGTTAAATCCAACAAAAATAGCCTGCTTATTATCAATAAATTGTATGTCTTGTTATAACACACGACCATGTTTGTAAGTTTATATAAAAAGATTCTAATATTTATCATACTAAATAAGTATCATTAGATTCATCATAAATAATATTTTTATGGTTTAGCTATTTGAGTAATACATGTTGAAAATATTTTCTGTAGACTTAGTTAAATTTAAGATAGTTTGACTTTGACGAGACCTAGAATTGCATACTTTTAGTATGGTCAGAAAGCAGTCTAGGCACCTAAATTCATTTATGTTTTCCAAAAAATGGCTACTATTCCAACGGTCCTGAAATACAAAGTGTTGAAGGTTTAAATTCTATCATAAATTATAAGGTATTCTGGATTGATTGACCTCATACATATACAGGTATGTCTGCTGTTTAAACACATCCATAAAACATCTATACATGCCCTTTAGATAAATGTAATTAGTAACTGAAATTAACAACATGTATGCATTTCTTTTTAAACTGTGTTACTAGAAAATTAAGAAAGTTGACAATCTAACAAACTAATCAGTTAGACGCAAGTTACTCTTACTCTTTATTTGGTCTATAAAAATTGACCGATTCTTTACGTTGTTATTCTAGACGCTAAACGGTCAGCCATCATTCGTTTAGCGAAAGATGGTTTAGGGGGTGTTTGGCACGGTTCTGGCTTCTCTGTTTTTTTACCGAAAAACGGCTCCTACAGGAAAACGTTTGGCAAGGCTCCTCTGGAAGAGCCAAAGCCGAAGCTGGGGAGGAGCCCTGCCAAACAGGCCCTTAGACAACCGACTAAACGATTTAAATGGTTTGCACTATAGCCGTAAATACACATATAAAGTTATAAATTTTAGGGTAAAGTACACTTTCCAACCTCCAACTTATACTGAAGTTCGATTTTCAACCTTCAACTATGAAACCGGGTAACAAACACCCTCCAACTATCAAAACCGGACAAATTTGGTCCTCGGCTGGTTTCAAAAGCGGTTTTCTATTTTCGGGAGACGCCAAAATTTTATATTATTTTTTTGAGCCTGTTAACGTTCTCAAATGAAAAAACTCAAAACTACAAAGTTGTAGATCTCATTGAGAGCTACAACTTTGGTATAAAAATTATCTTCATTTGACCCCATACAAAAAATATATTATTTTTCTAATGCGGCAAGTGCTATTATGATGCTGAAATTTTATATTATTTTTTGAGCAACTTAATGTCCTCAAATTAAAAAACTTAAAACTAGAAAGTTGTAGATATCATCGAGATCTAAAATTTTTATATAAAAATCATCTTCATCCAACGTCGTATTAGTTCATTTTTATATAAAAATCATCTTCTCACGCGACAAAACAACTTTCGAAAATGAAAAAGCTTGTTTTATATAAAAATGAACCAATACGACGTCGGATGAAGATGATTTTTATAAAAAATTGTAGATCTTGATGATATCTACAACTTTCTAGTTTTAAGTTTTTTAATTTGAGGACGTTAAGTTGCTCAAAAAATAATATAAAATTTTAGCATCATAATAGCGCTTGCCGCATTAGAAAAATAATATATTTTTTGTATGGAGTCAAATGAAGATACTTTTTATACCAAAGTTGTAGCTCTCAATGAGATCTACAACTTTGTAGTTTTGAGTTTTTTTATTTGAGGACGTTAAGAGGCTCAAAAAAATAATATAAAATTTCGGCGCCTTCCGAAAATCGAAAACCGCTTTTTGAAACCATCCGAGGACCAAATTTGTGCGGTTTTGATAGTTGGAGGGTGTTTGTTACCTGGTTTCATAGTTGAATGTTGAAAATCGAACTTCACTGCAAGTTCGAGGTTGGAAAGTGTACTTTACCCTAAATTTTATACAAAAATTTTAAGTGCAATTTGATATCATGAACATAGTTGCACAACTTGACATAGATAATAAGCAATTATACCGTATAATCATACACGTAGTCATATAGATATCATTTAAATGACACCAAAATACTTTCTCCACTCGCAAAACCAATCTTGTCTGCACAAAAAGTTCGTCTAGCACCCACCTTGTATGTTTCGGGATCCTGACATGTTTTGACGGAGATACGATCCTGCCAGGTATTGATGCCATGCAGTGATTTGATAAAAAGGGCGCAGGTCTGTGAAACGGACCTGGCACAATAGTGCTAGTAATAATGCCCTCCGAATGGATGTAGGTAAGCGCTGCGGTTCAATGGCACCACAGAGACAGAGGCAGAAGCAATTACCATCGTCATGGAAGTAGCAGTGCAAAGTGTGCCTCGCATTTACGAACCCAATGCCACGGAAGATCAAACAGTGTTAATTATGGAGGGGGACACGAGAATCGGGGCCAAGATCACGCAAGTTCGTACCATGATCGGCGATGCAGGCTCTATACAGAGCTTATTAACGGCCACATCCGGACCGGGACCAACTTCGCACTCTTGAACAATTCCCCAAGAACGGATTTTATTTCTGAAATCAAACACCACATTGAAATCAGAAGAGAGCTCAGATCAGATGCCCTTCTGCAGCATCGCCCCGGACCCGGGTGGGGCTTAGAGATCATAGAGCCGGATGAACCCCTCGGCGTCAGCCTGGTTGTAGATCTCCCCGTTCTCAAACGATGAAATGTCCTCACTGTAACGCTCACCGAGCCCCTGTACAGCTTCAGGGTCACCGAGCCGTGGTGGTCGCGGCGATCTTCTCCACGAAGGCGTCCAAGCACTGCCGGAGCGGGTCGAACCGGCGGCCGACGACGCCACGTTGGTTTGGTTTATAACTCTTCAGCCAATAAATAATATTTTTTTCTTACAATAAATTAGTCAACCATACTTTTAGTTATGCAGCGAAGCGAACAGCACCAGCTCAGCGTACTTGAGCGCCACCATGTCCTTCCGCTGCGTGGTCTCCCTGTCCAGCGTCAGGGCCTCCAGCTCGCGCACCGCCACGGCCATGATGGTGCCACCGGGGGTCTCGTAGACGCCGCGGGACTTCATGCAGACGAGACGGTTCTCCACCATGTCGATGCGCCCGATGCCGTGCTTCCCGCCAGTTTCGTTGAGCTCCGCGAGGAGGGAGGCGGGCAAGATGGATTGTCCGTTGATGGAAACGGGAACACCTGCGACGATGCCAAACTCCAGATACCTGAACGGATTAAGCTCAATGTTAGTCTACTACAGGCGTGATACATACGTGAGACTGTTTATATCAAGAAAGTTTCTCCAGGAAGATGAAAATTAGCAAAACCAGTTAATAGTGTAACAGGAATGTATATTTTCTTAGCAATAATTTGTATTACGCCAACGTGTATGTTACAGTCTGACATGACATTTCAAATAAAGCTTACTTCATCTAAAAAAACAGTCTCACATGACCAATTAAAAACTATACTGCCCTTATGTAAACTAATCTACTGCTCTCCCTCTGTATGCGCGGTAGGGGCAGACGTCGAAAGGGCTCCCCTACTGCTGCACTGTAGCCACGGCAGGGGCAGATGCCGAAAGGCTCCCCTACCGCACTGTAGCCACAGCAGGGGCATACGCCAAAGTCAGTCCTGCTGTCACATCTAGTCTCTGTAGCAGTATGGTAGCCTGTGGATATCTGTGTACTATGATTGAATGGGTAGAGTTATATATATAGCTTCTCACTGCAACTCAATAAAGTGAGAGAGTTCAGTTTTGTCATCTCCTCTGCAGAGCTCTGGCCAACGCTGGTGCTTGTGCTGTGTGTGCGCGCGCTCTGCTCTCATTCCCTTCTTCTACCTCTAGCCACAGTGAGCGAGAACGTCGGTGAGCGGTCGGCTTATCCGTGCGGGAGATCTCGGGACCAACAAGTGGTATCAGAGCTGTACAAGCGCCGTCGCCGGACTAACCGCTGGCGATGACGAACGGTTTGGAGATGGGCGACAGCAGCGGCACTGCTGTAGCTGCCCAGCCACGACAGGAGGTCGTCGTGCGCATGGTGCGGGAGGTCAGCGGCACCAGTTGGCCAACACTGACTCACACCAACTATGGCGAGTGCACGGTGACCATGAAGGTCAAGCTCAGAGCCCGACGACTCTAGAATGCCATTGATAAGGGCACAGACAATGAAGAAGATGACATGTCAATATTGGAGGCTATCCTCGCTGTTGTGCCAGCGGAGTACAGAGAGCCGTTGGGGGCAAAGAACTCTGCTAAGGAGGCATGGGAGGCCATTGCAGCGATACGCGTCGGATCCGACCGCGCAAAGAAGGCGACGGCCCAGCTGCTGAAGCAGGAGTACGCCAACCTCAAGTTCAAGGATGATGAGTCGGTGGAGGACTTGTCCCTCCGCCTACAGTCGCTCATCAGTAAGCTGAGGAGCCACGGCGTCACCATCGACGAAGAAGAGGCGGTCTCCAAGTACCTCCACTCCGTGCTGGTGAAGTACATCCAGATCGCTCTCTCCATAGAGACGATGCTGAACTTGTGTACCCTCACCATTGAGAATGTGACAGGCCGTCTACGGGCGGTGGACGAGCGCATAGAGAAGGTCACAGCAACGACGGACAGCGGCAAGCTACTGCTGATAGAGGAGGAGTGGGCTGCCCAGATGAAGAAGTCTGGGGAAGCCTCCTCTAGCCGCGGTGGCGATGGCAAGCGCCGCGGCAAGGCTTCTTCAGAGAACAAGAAGAAGGTCGACCCCAACACCTGCCGGCGCTGCGGGAAGATGGGCCATTGGGCAAATGAGTGCCCAAATCGTAAGCAGGAGAAGAAGGCTGATACTCATTTAGTGCAGGCTGATGAGGATGATGAGGCCACTCTCCTGATGGCGACATTCTGTGCACTGCACGACGTTGAGGCAAAGGAAAAGGGAGAGGTGATGGCGGTGGAAGGGCACGACAAGGCTCTGAAGGCTGTCAACCTTGACGAACCGCGCCCCAAGTCCACCTCGGACGTGTGGGCGGCGAGCAGGAGCAGCGGTGGTATCTAGACTTCGACGCCAGCAACCACATGATAGGCTCTAAGGAAGCCTTCTCTGAGCTCGACGGCAACGTGATCGGCACGGTGAAGTTTGGTGACGGCTCAAGGGTGGCGATTCGAGGGCACGGCACCATCATCTTCAGGTGCCAGAACGGCAAGCACCGCGCGCTAACGGATGTATATTACATCCCACAGCTACGTTCAAGCATCATCAGCATTTGCCAGCTGGATGAGCGCGGTAGCAAGGTACTAATCAATGATGGCGTCCTCAGGATCAGGGACCGGGAGCAGTGGCTTCTTGCCAAGGTGAAGAGGTCCTGAAACTGGCTGTACCTGCTCGACTTGAAGGTGGAGCAGCCGGTGTGCCTGGCGACATGACACACGGAGGAGCCGTGGCTGTGGCATGCCCGGTTCGGCCATCTCAGCTTCGACGCGCTCAGTCGGCTGAAGAAGATGGTCCATGGGCTACCCCACATCAAGCACGCAGGCGAGCTGTGTGATAGCTGCCTGGTCAGTAAGCAGAGAAGGGTGCCGTTCCCAAAGGAGGCCAAGTATCGCCCGGCGGACGCTCTCGAGCTCATTCACGGCGATCTCTGCGGGCCAATCACGCTAGCCACAAACGGTGGTTGGCGGTACTTCCTCCTGCTCGTGGATGATTGCAGTCGTTATATGTGGTTGCAACTCCTGACGAGCAAGGACGAGGCAGCGGAGGCGATCAAGAAGTTCAAGGCGTGCATGGAGGCAGAGAGCGAAAAGAAGCTGCGCATGTTGTGGACTGATCGCGGCGGCGAATTCACTTCGGTGGAGTTCGCTGCGTACTGCGCGGATCAGGGTGTGGTGCGACACCACACCGCGCCATACTCGCCCCAGCAAGAATGGTGTGGTGGAGCAGCGGAACCAGACGGTGGTCGACATGGCTCGATCCATGATTAAGGCCAAGAGCATGCCGGCAAGGTTCTAGGGTGAGGCGGTGACCACGGCGGTGTTCATCCTCAACCGCGCGCCCACAGAGGCCCTAAAGAGCATGACGCCATTCGAAGCTTGGTATGGGCACAAGCTGAGCATGTCCTTCCTTTGGACATTCGGCTGCATCGGCCACGTCAGGAAGACAAAGTCGGTCTTCACCAAGCTGGAGGACAGGAGCACACCGATGGTGGTCCTAGGCAACGAGGAAGTTACCAAGGCGTATCAGCTCTACGACCCATGCGGAGGCAAGGTGGTTGTCTCGCGCGACGTCGTGTTTGGTGAGAAGGCTGCCTGGGACTGGGACAGTCCAGGCATGGGGGAAGCTGGTGGCTTCACAAGCACCTTCGTCGTCGAGCACTTGGTCATCCACAGTGGTGGAGACGCTGGAGAGAAGGTGTTGACCACTCCAGCAACAGAGCCAAGCACTCCTGGGCGGTGTTGAGCACTCCGGGAGGGGTGATGACCACTCCAGGAGTGGTGCCGAGCGGTCCTGCAGTGGTGCCGACCACTCCAGGACGGGTGCCGAACGCTCCCGTAGTGGAGCCGAGAGGTCTTGCAGTGGTGCCGACCACTCCTAGACTGTTGCTGAGCACTACTGCAATGGTGCCAACCACTCCAGGAGTGGTGACGAGCGGTCCAGGAGTAGTACCGAGCACTGCAGCCGGGGTGCCGAGCACTCCATGTGCTGTGCCGACCACTCCGGTGGAACAGGGGACTCCATCGACGCCGATCGAGTTCGCCTCACCTCCAAGTGACATCATCGAGTTCGTGGATGCCTTCCACGACGGTGAGGAGGTGCGGTTCCAAAGGCTAAACGACAATGTCGGTGGCACAGGGTCCTTAGGCCTGGCAGGTTGGCTGCTCAATGACCCAGAGCTGCTTTTCATCTGTGCAGAGGAACCACCCACGTTTGCGCTGGCCGAGCGCGATGGAAATTGACGACGAGCGATGCTGGAGGAGATAAAGGCGATCAAAGAAAACGAGACTTGGGAGCTCATCGATCCACCTCCAGGATGTCGTCTGATCGGCTTGAAGTGGGTGTACAAGGTCAAGCAGGACGAGCGCGACGCCATTGTCAAGCACAAGGCGTGCCTCATCGTCTGAGAGTTTGTCCAGCGTGAGGGCATCGACTTCGAGGAAGTCTTTGCGCCGGTAGCCCGTATGGAGTCTATCCGACTGCTGTTGGCTTTGGCAGCAACGAAGGATTGGCGCATCCATCACCTGGATATAAAATCAGCCTTTCTTAATGGTGAGCTGGCGGAGATGGTATTCGTCAGGCAACCTCCGGGTTTCGCCGTCAAGGGAGCGGAGCACAAGGTGCTCCGACTGCACAAGGCGCTCTACGGGCTGCGGCAGGCCCCGCAAGTGTGGAACGCCAAGATTGACGCCACGCTGAGCGAGCTTGGGTTCACGCGGTGCACAACCGAGCACGCGCTATACACACAACGATGGGGGAAGGAGGAGCTCATCATCGGCGTGTATGTGGACGACTTGATCATCACCGGCGCGCGTGCAGAGGACATCGACAACTTCAAGCGCGAGATGGCGGCTCGTTTTCGAATGAGCGATCTCGGCACGCTCTCCTACTACCTCGTCGAGGTGAGACAGAGGAAGGAGGAACTCACGCTCTGTCAGAGCGCGTATGCCTTGAAGCTGTTGGAGCGGAGCGGCATGGCTGAGTGTAAGCCATGCGTGACTTCGTTGGAGGAGCGACTGAAGCTGACGACGGCCAGTACCGCGGTGAAGGTAGATGCAACACTTTACCGGAGCATCGTCGGCGGTTTGCGCTACCTAGTCCACACGAGGCCGGACATTGGGTTCGTCGTGGGCTACGTCAGCGCTTCATAAAGGATCTCCGAGAGGATCACTAGGCCGCGGTGAAGCGGCTGCAGCGCTACGTCAAGGGGACGGTGGATCAGGTGATCGTCTTCCCCAAGACCGGTGGAAGTGGGCTGCAGCTCACTGTGTTCAGCGATGCAGACATGGCGGGGGACATTGATGGACGGCAGAGCACCTCTGGCGTGCTCGTCTTCCTCAGGTCGGCTCCAATCTCATGGTTGTCGCTGAAATAGAAGGTGGTGGCGCTGTCCACTTGCGAGGTCGAGTACGTGGTGGCGGCCACAGTGGCGTGTCAAGCTGTGTAGTTGCGTCAGCTGCTGGGTGAGCTGACCGGTGTGGAAGCTCACCCACCAGCACTGATGGTGGACAACCAACCCACCATTGCCCTAGCAAAGAATCCGGTTCTCCACGACCGGAGCAAGCACATCGACGTCAAGTTTCACTTCCTCAGGGATTGTGTCGATGGAGGGCAGATCATCATCGAGTTCGTCGAAACTGGTCGGCAACTCGCGGACGTCCTCACCAAGCCGCTCGACCATCTTCGGTTCACGGAGCTAAAGAAGATGATTGGCATGATGGAGATTTTAGGGTTAGCAGCAGGAT